AATAGCCTCCACCCCTTTGCTTTGAACCCAGGTTTGCACTTTTGGCAGACCTTAACCCTGACGCAGCACAGCTGAAGCGAAAACCATTTCAGGAAACTTCAACATGAAGCTCATTAAGAGAAGGACAAGGGTGTGCAGCACTGTCCACAAAGCAAAGGGAGGAGACTTAAAAACATCTTTGTTTCTTTGCTACATAATTCCATATATCATCCATCATATTTATTTTGTGTTCTGGGTGCATCTAAAGCAGTACACAAAGAGAAAAAACATGAATGAGAGGGTGTGTCCAGACTTTGGGCTGATCATTGGGTTAGAGGAAATTTGACTGAAATGTCTTTGAAAAGAGGGCAGGAGTGTGTTATAGACCACTATTACACCATATCAGGCAAGTTTATATTATATTTAACGTAATTACAAGGATTTTACTGAAGATTTTTACTTTGTTTTTCTCCTTTTGAGCTTTTGGTGAAGATTATAAGTGTACTTCCTTGGACATGGGCAGCAGATGTAACATCCTTGGAGGTAAGTTCATAACTGTTACCTAGCAACCACAGTGTAAATAACAGCTAAAGCCCGTCCAATTTACACAGTTCATGTGCTTCAGCTTTCTGTTTACTGTGAGAACAAAAATGTGTGGCCTCATGCTCCATTGGGCCACTGCAGTACAGCCACCAGCTTTCACTCACATGTGACTGACTGCAGTTTGCAGTGACAAAATGATTCCTTACATATCAGGCATTCTGGGCATCCTCATTTTTCAGTGAGTTTAAAAGCCAGACCAGTGCAGAGTTTTACTGTGACCCTAATAACAATTAGCACACTAACATACAGTTTGTGATAATGAAGCTCTTCATAATGACATGCAAACAGTACACACTGGACTTATTTTGACCTCAACATCTGCTTAGACAATATATATCAGGTTGAGAGACGGGGATGAGACGGACTGATGTGGGGTGATTTGGGGTGAGGAAGTGGAGCATCCTCGTGTGTGTGTGTGTGTGTGTGAACAGGGCTGTGGGAAATGTGTCAGGGGATCACTATAACTCAATATGGCACGGCCAATTTATTTAGGACAAGCGCAAATGGGCGGAGGAGCAGATAAAAGACAAGCATCCCACTGTCCCCCACAGCCCCCACACCCCACACCCCCCTCCTCTGCACCCCTGGAGTCTAAGGGGGTAATCACGGGCCCCTCCCTGACCCCAGGCCTCACAACAAACCGCTCTTTCTATCCCGGCTCCTGATAAGATTAAGGGCCCTCGGCCTTTTCAGTATCATTCCTCTAGTACACACACAGAGCCCCACCCTAGTCTGCCCCGGGGCCATTGTCCTCCCTGTGTGCGGGGCCCTCATTAGCATAGGGCCTGTGATCCTCTCGGAGCCCCTCTTGGAGCCCCTCTGTGAAGCCACCACAAGGGCACTGTTCATGGGAAAACGCTGACATTATTGTGGGTGCCATGGAGACCACAAACGCACTCGTCACCAGCCCAGTGAGGGACAAACCAGACTGAAGTATGAACAACAGAAGCTTTCATTTAAAGGGCCTCTACATGTTTCCCATATAGATGAGCAGAGTCTGCCTTGCCCCAGATATAAGCTGCTCTTGATGTCAGAATAAGTCTGCTGTTTACTGTCCACATCTAATTATAAAATGTTTTATTGTCCAATAATTAGAAGTGCACATTAAAATGTTAGTTATTAGCTTTACTGTTAGGGCAAAACTCTGCTCTGATCTCTAAGAACTGAAAACTCTTCATAAACTCATCGTGGTGAATAGTCAGGATGCTCAGAATGTGTAAGGAAGTGAGGACCACCGCAAACCATTAAAAAAATTAATTAGTTCTGGTTTGCAAAGTTTTTGTCCAGACGCTAACCTACCTAGGAGTCTGTGAACACTAAAGACTCAAAGTCTACACGGACACATGACCTGGCACTGAAATATAGTGAGAATGTTGTTTCCGGTGTTTTCTACATATTGCTAAACACCATGACGTGTTCTCACAGCCTCATGTCTCGTTATGTGCTGTCACCGTGTGTTCTAGTGGAGGGTTTGGTGACGTCCCTGAGCAGCAGTCAGAGAGACGTTAGTGATGTTAGCTACAGATCAGTGCCAGCTTAGTCATGTGTGATAAAACATATGCTTTACTCTGTTAGCTTTGTAACATTTAACCGAGCCTCACAGCGGCACTGGACAGACGAGGTAGTAATGCAGAACATCATTTAACTTCATGCTCCACTATGCCCAGA